GCTGTGCCTGGCTTGGGTCTAGCTGCTATGCTCAGCTCCTTCCTGCTGCTGCCCTTGGGGGTGAACCTGTTGTGCTCCTCTGGCAAGATGTTCTGCTCTTGGACTAGCTGGGTGGTTCTATCCTCTACACTCTCTGCAGGGATTGCAGCTGCAGGGTTTCACCCCAGGCCTGTATGCCAGGCCTAAGCTGAGCCTGGAGGGGACAAGGTGAAAAGAGGGGAGAGGCAGCTCTCCTACACACTCACCGGGCCTGGGCTAGGACTGGATCTGGGCGTTCCCGGAACGCGGCAGAAATTCCTACCCTGTGTGCGGGGTGTGGGGGGATACTATGGATTGATGGGGGGCATCCCAATCGGGTAGAAGAGGGTTTCACCCACGCTGCACCTGGGCTGGAACCAGTTGTAGGTCCCGCCGGGGCAGGGTAGCCGGAAGCTCTCCCACACACTCACTGGGCCTGAGCTAGGACTGGGTCTGGGGGTTCCCGGAGCGTGGCAGAAATTCCTACTCGGTGGGCGGGGTGGAGGTGCTGTGGAGTGGTGGGGGGCGTTCCAAGGGGGTAGGAGAGGGTCTCATCCACGCTGCACCTGGGCTGGGACCAGTAGTAGGTCCCACCGGCGCAGGGTAGCTAGAAGCTCTCCCACACACTCACCAGGCCTGGGCTAGGACTGGGTCTGTAAGCATTGTTAACATGGAAGATCTGTATTGGATAGCTGTCCTTTGTCACTGAATTGTGAAAATTCTTTACATGTTTGGAGGCCATACCCTTGTTGGATAATTTAACATGTTTTCCATTCCGTGGTTAGTCTTTTAAATTTACTTTTTGTAAATACTATGTCACAATTTTTGATATGCCAAAATTTAATTTTTTTATGAGCAGAATATATTTATTGAGGGAAAGAAAGCTCCTGTCCAAGAGAGGGACAGGAGGGGGGGGCCCAAGCGGGTACTTCCCCAGGAAGCTGTCTCTTTCAGGGACTTTTATAGTGTAAAACCATGTGGGGCTAAGGTAGAGAAAGGGGGAACTCACTTTAGGTGGATGTGGGGTGGGCATAAAAATTTGTTACCTAAGCAAGTCCCACTCCAGAATTTATGAAAGAAAAGCAAACTCATACCTCCGTCCAGTGATCTTGGTGGAAACCTCCAAAATGATACAGGGAGAAAAACTGATCTAAGGTGGGTGACATCCAAACCATATAGGGAACCTCCAAATGACATAGGGAAAAATGATCTCCCAACCTGACCTGCACGAGTTTGTGTTCTCTAAAACTGAAGAATGAATTTTAGGAACAAATGGAGGTTATGAGCAGAATATATTTATTGGAAAGAAAGCTCCTGTCCAAGAGAGGGACAGGAGGGGGGCCCAAGCGGGTAGTTCCCCCCCAAATTTAATTTTGATGAAGTATACTTTAGCTTTCCTTTGGTTTCTTATGATTTTAATGTCATTATCTTGCCAAATTCAAAATCTTGCGGTGTTTTTAATTTTTTTTTTTTAAATTTTTTTATTTATTTGAGAGAGAGAGAGAGAGAGAGAGAGAGAGAGAGAGGTGTGTGTGTGTGTGTGTGTGTGTGTGTGGCCAGCTCAGCCCACCAGGGGGCGGGGCTGGCTGGCATGTGGTGCTGGGGGATTGAACCGCGGTCCCTGATGCCTTGCCAAGCTTGTTCCAAGCAGGTGCTTTAGACCACTGAGCCATCTCTCCAGCCCCGGTGTTTTTAATTTGTTTGCTACTGTTTTTTGTTTTGTAGTACTAGGGGTTGAAACTAGGTGATTTACACCCAACTAGATGCCCAACTATTTTTTATTTTGAGACAAGGTCTCACTAACTTATATAGGCTGGGCTTAAAGTTGCCGTCCCCCTGCCTCAACTTTCCTGAGGGTTAGTATTATAGACATGTGCAACCACACTCACTGCTGAATTCAAGACTTTAAACACTTCTATATGTTTTTTCTTTTGTTTTCCTTTATGATGCTGGGGATTGAACCCAAGGGCTTTGTGTATGCTAGACAAGTGTTCTACCACAGAGTCACATCCTCAGACCTTCCTGTATTTTCTTCTAAGTACTTTATAGTTTTAGCTCTTATGTTTATGTCTTTAATCCATTCTGAATTATTTGTAGTATGGTATAAGAGAAAGGTCCAACTTCATTCTTTTGCATGTGAATATCCAGTTTTCCTGGCATTATTTTTTCTTAGTCGCCGGCCCAGCCTGCTCTGGGACTGACACAGCATGTGGTGCTGGGATCGAACCTCAGTCTGGGCACCTTGTCTAAACTTGCTTAAGCAGGCTCTTTAGACTGCTGAGCTATTTCACAGCCCCCTTCTTTTTTTTTTTTTTTTTTTTTTTTTTTTGGTCTGACACTATCTGTTGGAAAGATTATTCTTTCTCTATTAACTTGGCCTTGTTCAAAATCATTTTGGCCATGTTATCCAGATCTTGTTTCTGGGATTTTCATTCTGTGCTATTGTCTGTATACCTTCCTTACACTGGTGTGTGCTTGGCTGCTTATAGGCTATTTTTATTTGATGATAGAGTGCTGCTGTGCTTATCTTGCACTATTGGCTGGGTACATTAGGCATCACCTAGTTCCTGATGGGAAGCTCAGGCCATATGATCATTTGATGGTGAGGTTTTACTTTCTGCCAAGGCCTGGTAGCAAATCAGAAGCTCTTTTTCAAAAAGCAGCTAGTTATCTACAGAGAGCATATATTTGTTTCAAATCCTAGGGGTCTGTGTTGTGATGCTTGCAGGATATTTATACCATGTCCTCAGTTGCCATAGACACTTCATTTATGAGTAGATCTGCTGAATCATAAGACCCAGGTGGTAGAATGACTCAAACTACAGTCTGAACTTGCAGCGAAGCCTACTCCTGTTCTGGAACTCACAGAAAATTTGTCATCTTTTCCATCATTCTGTGGTAATATCAAAGTAGCAAATTCAGATCTGGTCTGAATCTAAGCTCTAAGACCTAGAAAGTAAAAAATAAGTAATAAAAATTAAATTTTAAAAATCCAAAAAGGCCCATCAAATGTTGTTCCTCTTTCAGGGTAAGTGGTTTCAGGTATAACAGCCTCTCCATCTTGAAGGTGATGCGCCAGCAAGTTCCAGACCACTGGAGCCCTAGACCTGGACGTGCCAGGCCTTTCCATTTCTCCCGTCTTCCCGTTTGCATATCTTTCTAAGGTGTACAATGAGAAGACAGAAACCACACAGCAGTTTGAACAGAGAAAAGCTTCCATGATACAGGAATTTTCCAGAGGGAGGAACTAAAGGATAGATTTGAAGGGAGGCTCCACACTGATAGCTTTCATAACTTAGCAATAATAGTTTAGAGGAAATCTCCTTTTGTTTAATATGGAGCTAAATAGCTGTGATTTTGCTATGATCATACAGTAATGTATTCAGTTACACATTCATTTTACTCCATTCCCATGTTCTGTGACTGCGTACTCGTATTACAGAAACACACAGGAAATAAGAGTCCTTATCCACCAAGGACTTACATTTGGAATCAATAGGCTATGTCAGATGACTCATAGCAGTGTCTTTACCTATTTCATTCTTGGTCTGTAAAATAATCTCAAAAATGTCTGCCTTAGGGGCCGGGGAGATGGCTCAGTGGAATAAGCGCTTCCCTGGCAAGCACAAGGGCCTGAGTTCAATCCCTGGTTCCACAAAAAAATAAAAAAATAAAAATGTCTGCCTTTTAAAATTGAGTAGGCAGTTGTGAGTCGTGGGGGGAGTGGGGGAGCAAGATGGCATTAAAGTATAAGCCAGTTTGCCTGGCTACTCTTCCCTCTACCTTCAACCCCGCCGAATATGACATATCTCTGGAAACCTGGAGGGTGTAAGCCGAGCACTTGGCCATGAGAGCCCAGCTCAAATGGGAGTATCTGCTTTAGTACAATGACCTCAAATGCCGAGGGCTTATCGAAGATCCTGCTTTGACTTGTTGGACCCACACAAGATCATCTAACATCTATCTCAATTTTGGGCCCACTCTCAAAAACTCGCTGATAGGACTTGCGGGTGGACTTGGGCCCCTCCTCTTCTGGTATTGTTTTCTTTTTCTTTTTTTAAATCTCTTTTTTTTAAAAAATATTTATTTATTTTGTGTGTGTGTGTGTGTGTGTGTGGCCAGCTCAGCCCACCAGGGGGCGGGGGCTGGCCGGCATGTGGGGCTGGGGGATTGAACCGTGGTCCCTGTGCTTTGCTTAGCTTAGCTTGTTCTAAGTAGATGCTTTAGACCACTGAGCCATCTCACCAGCTCCTCTGGTATTGTTTTCAAAACTAATAGGGATAAGAAGGAAAAGCTGATCCAGGAGGAAAAGTAGAACAACTATTTCACTTCATGTCATATTAAATCTGATGACTGTGAAAAATAAAATTGAGTACCTTGTTACTGGGTGATCATTCTTATATTCTGCACTTTTTATTTCCCTTTTTGATTTTATTAATCTATGTCATTCTGCCTAGAAATAATACAATATTGCTGTGTTTCATCCTCTTTAACGCTGAATTACCACTGGCTCCTAAGTGGAGGTAAATGATACTCTTAGGAAATTTAGGATCCCAATCTCTTGATCCTTAAAAGACATGTATAGCTAAGAGGGTTGCACATTGGAGAAAGTTTGAGGCTTTAAACCGAATTTAACTACTATGATTTTCTTTCTGGGACAGATCTTGTTGTCTCTGCTGTTACCACGCCAGAACCGCCTAAGAAGTGAGATTGAAGCAGCGTTGGATGCAGACTTCCTCAGGCAGGAAGCAGAACGTGGGGCCCTGGATGTCTCTTCCCTTTCCAAGTATATTCTCAACATGATGACTCTGTTGTGTGCGCCAGTCCGAGATGAAGCTGTACAGACTCTTGAGAACATTGCAGACCCTGTTGGGTTATTGAGGTGTGGACCTTGATTACTGCCCCCGCCCCAGAGCCTGCAAACCTGGGCCAGACACTGGATTGCAGCCATTGTCTTGATATGCCTCTCCCTGCTGGATACCTGACTCTCCTCCCACTTTCTCCTCTCTAGACAGTTTTTTTCTTTTCTAAAGATGGCCTCATCCAGGGCCTTGTGGTTCTCCTTGGATTGATTGGAGTGCTAGGGAGATAGCTCAGTGGCGTCAGTGCCTGCCTGGCAAAGTCAAGGTCCTAAGTTCAATCCCCCATGCCAAGAAAAAAAAAAGATTAATTTTGGGTCCCACTAGGTAGGTATATGCTGCCAAAAGATAAAATTCTTTCCTTTCAAGGGTGTGAAAACATCCTTTCCCCATGTCATATTATAGTATAGGGGAGGGATGGGAGGTTAGCTTGTTTCATAGTCAGAGGAACTAAAGATCCAAGACCTAGAAAGTAAAAAATAATAAAAATTAAATTTTAAAAAGCCAGTTTGGCTGAAGAGTCAGAAATAGCATCATAGCTTAATAAAATTAATTAAAATAAAAATTTTAAAAAGCATCATAGGGCTGGGAAGATAGCTCAGTAGAATAAGCACCATCCTGGCAAGCGAAAGATGCTGAGTTTAACCCCCCGTACTGAAACAAAGTATCATAGTGCAGGGCTGGAGAGATGGCTCGGTGGTCTAAAGCACCTACTTAGAACAAGCTTAGCAAAAGCATCAGGGACCGCGGTTCAATCCCCCAGCACCACATGCCAGCCAGCCCGCCCCCTGGTGGGCTGAGCTGGCCTCTCTCTCTCTCTCTCTCTCTCTCTCTCTCTCTCTCTCTCTCTCTCTCTCTCTCTCTCTCTCATAAATAAATAAATAAAAAGTATCATAGTGCAGGGACCAAGGTTCAATCCCCTGCACCACATGTTGTACTGTGGTACTGTAAGCATGGTGGCGCACGCCTGTAATCACAGCATTGGGGAGGCTGAAAACAGGAGGATCACTAGGAGTCTGAACTACATAGTGAGACTCTACCAAATACATTTTTAAAAAAGCATAGAACAATAGCATCACTTATCAACTCAACCTTGCAGAGAATTCTGCTGTTTCTTCCTTTTAACTTCACTGTTTTAAGATGACAGAATGATTGTAGAGAAAGAAACCTAGCTGTTTGCAGTTCTGCCTTCAATTCTTGGCCTTGAGCCATGGGCCACAGGCCACAGGCCATGTTTTATAAATGTAGGATATAGGACTAAGTTTTATGAATATAGTGATTTATTTATTTTGAATTTTGTTTTGTTTATTTTATTTTATTTTTTTGCAGTACTTGGGATTGAATTCAGGACCTTACACTTGCCAGGCAAGCACTTATTCTACTGAGCTCTCTCCCAGCCCTTGTTTTGTTCTTTTAGACAGGATCTCAATATGTAGTTCAGGCTGGCCTTGAACTCACTTTGTAGCCCAGGCTTGTCTCTAACTCACAAGATCCTCCTGTAATCCTCAGGTGATCCTGCTGCCTCAGCTTCCTGAATGCTGGGATTACAGGTGTGTGTCACCATGCCCAGCTTGAGAATAGTTTTAACGGCTCCTCATGTGGGTTTTCCTCTTATAGGATTTCTTTTCTGTAGAATAAATACTGTGCTTCCCTCTGTCTCAGAGGGATCTTCCAGGTTCTGGGCCTGATGAAAATGGACATGGTGAACTACACCATTCAGAGCCTTCAGCCCCATCTGCAGGAACATTCTATCCAGTATGAGCGAGCTAAGTTCCAGGAACAACTTGACCAGCAGCCCGGTATGTATAATGTGAGGGAAGAGCAGAAAGGTGAGCCTGTGTCTTGCTTCCACGATAGAGTACCTGGACTGTTTTAGAAGTAGAATGTTTTCTTCTTCAGGTAAGGGGAGGCAGAGAGAACATTTAACTAAGATGGAAAGATCCCAAAGGATTTATTAAGTATGAGTACTTCTTGAATCTTGGTCTTGAAGCCACAGAGACAAAGATGCTTACTCAGTCTCTTTGCTGTCCTAGGTCTTCTCAATCATACTACCAAGTGGCTCGCCCAAGCAGCAGCAGACCTCAGCACGCCACCAACTTGCTCCGACTCTGCTGACTCCTCCGGTGTGGCTGGTCCTTCTCTGGATGAGGCAGCCAGTGACACTGAGCCCCTCAGCCCTGCAGTAGTGTTGTCCCAAGGCTTCCTCAACCTCCTCCTGTGGGACCCTGAAAATGAAGAGTTCCCTGAGGTGTGTGTGTGTGGGTGCATTACCTTGCTTTGTATCCAGTACTTCTGTTGGACCCCCCCCCCTTCCTGACACCCTGCTCTTCCCTGGTTTCCAGACCCTGCAAATGGATAGAACCCGGTTGCGAGAGCTGGAGGCCCAGCTGCAGCAGTTGACTGTCCTGGCTTCAGTCTTGCTTGTGGCCAGCAGTTTCTCTGGCAGCGTTTTGTGTGGCTCACCTCAGTTTGTGGATAAAATGAAGCGTCTCACCAAGGCCCTGATGGAGGAATTCAAACCTAAGTAAGCTGCATTGATCTTTTTTTAGAGCAGAGAGTGATATGTGATACTCAGGACACAAGCAGGTGATGAATTAATGTTTACTGCCCACCATGAACCACAGAAAGGCTCTTTGGAACCATGCATAAAGAATGTTGATTCCCCCTATAAGTGATCTTGAAGATTGTTACAGAAAAGTAAAACTTTTCTTCCACAGAGGTTGGCACAGAGAACAGTTAGCTGAAAATGATTCATTATCCATTTGGGTGGGTAACAGTGGTGTGGTATTAGTGTGGATATCCAGGAGCTGGTCAGTCAGCAGTATTGATGAGATCTACAGATTCTGGGCATCACACCAAAGGAAAAAAAGGCAAGTTTAAGGCTGGAAATGGAGGTTAGAGGTCTAGCCCTTGCGTCATATGCATGGGGCCCTGGGTTCAATCCCTAGCACTGCAAAACAAAACCCAGAAGAACAGGTTTGTAATTGTAATTGATAAGATAGGACAAAGGATCATCGTTGATATCCAGGAAAGGCTTTTAAAAAATTCTCTCTCTCGCTCGCTCTCTTGTGCTCTTGTTGGGGATTTAGCTTTGTCCAGCAAGTGCCAGGCACTGGGTTCAGACCTTAGTACCCCAAAGCTAAAAATAAGTAAATAAAAATAAAATGGGGGGACTAAATAGTGCTGAATGGATCCTGTGGTAGAACCTTTAAGCTCTTTTCCAGGGTCAGTTTTGTAGTTCATCTTCTGTATCTTTTTTTTTTTTTTTTTTTTTGCGGAACTGGGGATTGAACTCAGGCCCTTGTATTTGCCAGGCAAGCACTTATTCTACTGAGCCATCTCCCCGGCCTGTAGTTCATCTTCTAAGAAGTAAGACAAGGCACTCTGTGGAGTAGTTGGTATCTTTTTTTTTTCTTTAGAATGTCTATTTTTTTCCATAATTTTTTTTTAAAATTATTTATTTATTTTTATTTATTGTGTGTGTGTGTGTGTGTGTGTGG